TAGGCTAATTTATCTGATGAGTGCCACATCTTGTGGTATGAAACTAATAGTAATAAAGATGCCTAGTGGAATTTGTTGAGTCGTTGCACTTATTTAATTATGCTCTGGATATCCGTTTAGCACTCTGCCAAATGTTTTTGTAAACAACGAAACCTAATTCTATATATACTATATATATAAACATATGAGTAGAGTAAGAGTGCTCGATATACTGAAGTATAGAGCTAATATAAAGATAAAATTAAATACACATGGTTTATTTCATAAGATTTTATTCACTACAAACTTTGTTTTGTATGACAAGCAATGCTTGCCACACTCGATCATTAGGTGAATTTAAATGAAAATTCACCTAATGAGTGTGGCAAGCATTGCTTGTCATACAAAACAAGTTTGTAGTGAATAAAATCTTATGAATTAGTAAACCAGGTTTATTTTATTTTATAGTTGTTAACACAAAGTCTTGTCCATGTATAAGCCTCTCCCCCCTGTGTATAAGCTCCCTTCGCCCCCTGTGTATAAGCCCCCTTCACCCCCTGTGTATAAGACCATAAAAAACACTTATGAACTTGTATGAGCACAGGGCTTATATTTGGACATTTACAGTACTTTCCAACCTACAGAAAATGCAGTTATCTGCTAGCATATAACTGAGTTATCTGCAAATGAGCCTGCAGTGATTAGCAAGCAGTATCTATTGAACACAAACAAATGTATAATAAAACAATTGTTGAATTCAGTTTTTGCGATATGCAAAATTATCAAGGTCTCAGTAAGCGTTATCAGCCTCGCCTTCGGCTCAGCTGATAACGCTTACTTCGACCTTGATAATTCCGCATATCACCAAAACCTCATCCAATAATTGTTAATTATTTAGGTAAATTAGCTTATATATATATATATATATATATAGATGACAATTGTTGTTTGATCTGTTCTATTGTAGGTTGATAGTTTTGAGGTTCTTGTTTTTCAAAGAGATGTATGGAAAAAAGCTGATTACAGTGATTTATATGGATATGTAGAAGAAATTACTGTAGTTAATTCATCTGGTATGAAGATCAACCAATTGTGCAATCATTTAATTCTATATAATATTTAGGATTAAAAAATTGCTGTCTGATAACATTTTGTTATGTGGCAACCATGCAAGAAAAACATGAAAATGAAAACATTTATTATATCATACTACTTAATTACATACTGTACCTACTACTATTGAATGTGTTTTGTAGGAGTTCAGATCAAAACATCTGTCATGTTTTATTATGATGAAGAACCATGCCTAACTTTAATTGGTTATGGAATGTGGCCAGCTACACCCAAAGAGCCAAAGGTTGCATTTGAGATCCACCTGATGGAAGTCGCTGAAGTACTTTTTCTTGAATGCCGTTTGTCAACAAAGCAATTTTGCAATGCCCTAAAGTGGTTATGTCCAGATCTATCTCAAGCTTATGTAAGTAGCTATAACCAACATTACCAAAGTGGTTACCAAAAATGTGAAATTCTTATTAGTGTGTTTGCATGTATGGGTTTGTTTCATTATGGCAGAAGATTTGACTTGGAATGGAATATAGTACTTTATTAAACTGAAAGATTGGTCTGATTGGATCTTCAGATTGTCCCTATAATCTGGTCACCTAATTAATTGTAATGCCTACCCCACCTTGTCAACTCTCCCTAAAGTTGGGAGGAAATCCAATTGCTCAGAGGAACCTACAACTTCCAGTGGAGCATTGAGAAAGTTACGGTACTCTTTTCCACACATGAAAGTTGAAAGTTCCTGTTGATGAGAATCGATCCCACAACTTGTGGGGAATATCAAATTGAATCGAATTTACAAATGCATTGCAATTAATATTGTGGTTCAATCAGCCACTCTTCTATCTGGCATTAACCACTTTCTAACTACTAGGTAAAAGACATTTACCGACTACTTGTTGGCGAGTGCTTCACAGAATTTAGATTTATGCGACATCAGTTCCGGACACTAAAACAGCTCAACCCGCAACTTGTAGATGATGGGACTATATGTCCAGCATGTCCCAAAGTGAGTCAATTTTGATTAATTTTTGTAATATAGTGCTGTATGTATGAGAATGGTAATTCGAATTTCCTTATTTGAGATCTGTTGTTGTTAATATACAGTACTAACACCAACACATAACCCAAGTAAACAGTACGAAGCTCACAGTTCATGAACGTGGCTAAAGTGGTGTAAATAAGTAGTGCGTGAAAAACGTTATATTATTCCCTCCAAGGAAGAAGGAACTGTACACATTTCTGTGGATGCACTATTTGGGTGTGTAAGGAAAAGAAGTTCAGGCGAAAGTTCTGCTCCGCCGAAACATGGTGAAACGTTTTTTATCTCACAAGACAACGTTGATGCCTTCATCAGTTCGTATGGGAAAAAGAAAGATGCGAAACTAGAAGTCGTGAGTGAATTACAAATTAATCTAAAGATTGTAATTGCCCATGCCATTGACTTTCTAATACAGGGTGTATAAAAAAAAAACTGAACAGATATGAATTTACTCTCAATTTCGGAAAACTGCTTTTAGTATCCAGTTTTTGATGTATATAGTATCTTTGGGTACAAGCTTATAATGTAGAATAATGCAAAAAATTTCTCGAACTCAAATTTTGTGAACCAGGGGTGTGTGTCTTTTCCAACAAACTAAAAACGGCTTGTGCACGCAATTTAAAAGCTTTAATCATATTTTGAGTTAATAGATGGCAAATGTGTTGGGTTTTTAATTACTGTGCAAAATGTCAGACAATTTGCTTTAGTTTAAGTCCTTTGACTATTCATTTTTTCTTAAAAAATCAGCCTTTCGCATGCTTATAATTAATGTCTTTACCTAATTTGCATATTGCTGACATATGCAAATTAGGCAAAGGCATTAATTAGCATGCAAATAGCTGATTTTTAGGAAAAAATGTAAGTTTGCGTGAATAGTTAAGGGGCTTAAACTAAAGCAAATTGTCTGAAATTTTGTACAGTAATTAAAAACCCATTCCTATTTCCATCTATTAACTCAAAATATGATTAAAGCTTTTAAATTTTGTGCGCAAGTCATTTCTAGTTTGTTGGAAAAGACACCCCCCCCCCTGGTTCACAAAATTTGAGTTCGAGAATTTTTTGTCATTATTCTACATTATAAGTACCCAAAGATACTATATACATCAAAAACTGGATACTAATAGCTGTTTTTCGAAATTGAGAGCAAATTCATATCTGTTTTATACACCCTGTATATCGTTTTTCAATAGTCGATATAGATACATGTAAGCGTCATACTAACATACTTTGCCGCCACTTTTCTCGAATGAGATGCTTATGGATTGCATTCATCTCCTCATAGTTTGCTCCTCACGTACTGTTCCCCTTTTTTTGATCCTGACGAACTGTTTACAACGAAGCCTAAATTAAAACTCTCAAGGTTTTTTTTTCTTCTCAAGGAGTGCAATCAATTTCAAGCTGGAACAAATTTAAGATCCAAAATAAAGTCAAACAAGCTTGACGAAACAGCGGTGTTTGGATGTTCTTGTCGGCATGAAGTTCCTAACACTTTCTTTAGTCTTAAGCGTGGAGAGCAGTGAGTAGTAATTAAATATATAAACGAATATTATACCTCACAATGAGCTTGTCCAATCAGAGAACTAAATTTGTACCACATGACCATGGTATTTTTCAGTGAATACTATGACCTAGGCAATTTGAACCCTGGGTGTTTTACCCGGGGCCATGGTATTCGACTTTGAATACCACGCTTGAGCGGGAAATTCGACTTTTTTAAATGTAAAGTTATCAAAAGTTGTGTTTTGAAATTAAAAGTTAATTGAATGGTATTTGTTTTCTACTTATTTTTGAAAGGTTCGGTATAATATACCATTTATAGACCTTTCACTCGGGGTATTCCACAAAAAATTACCCTGCGGGATGAAATATTCCTCGGGCTTCGCCCTCGGAATATTTCATCCCTCAGGGTAATTTTTTGTGGAATACCCCTCGTTTCAGGTCTATAACTGATAAATATACCCATTTAATTACAGGGATCAAAACAATATTTACTCGTTCAACGGTCAATGGCCGGCCAAAAAGCTCTTAACCGGCAACATTTTTACCTGATGGGTCATCTTGAGTTTTTGATTGTCTCTGCCTAGCTAAATATTGTCAGAGAAAGACATACTGTAATAAGGACGCCAATTTTGTATAATAATTGTACGTTTACCAATTATTTCGATCATGAACAGGGACCTACAGTACGTGCATTTATTGCATTTGATCTTAAAGTTATACTGCAGTGTCAGTACGTTTAGGTAAACATTAATTAAATACAGTATTTATTTATTACTTTAACAGGATATCAAATGCAGTGTTTCTATTGAAACACGTAAAAGAGAAGATTTCGCATCCTTCAGTTAAGCTAAATTTTCTGTACGATATTGCTTGCACTTTGGAATCTCATTTAAAGGTTTGTTAAACTATTAACTATTAAGATGTTTATTGGAAGTATGTTTCGATAATATTTTAGAGCACATAAAAAATGGTATCAATACGACTTTATGAAAACATTAATTTTGTGGTGTGTACTGTTGTAGTACACACCATCAGTGGCGTAGCATGCGCGACAATTTAGTCCCGCCATGCAAATTCAAAATTATTTAACAATTATTCGCCTCGTGCTCGGTGATTATCGCGGAATATTCACCGAGACGAAGTCGAGGTGAATATTTCCAGATAATCACCGAGCATGAGGCGAATAATTGTTTTAGTATTTTACACAAGTACTGAATTTATTTTAAATTTCTCTTATTTCTTTATCAGTAAACTTCCACAAACCGGCTAGCGGCCATTTTGGAAATTTCGGTTTTGTTATATTCACCTGTAGGTAAATATTGTTATATTCACCTGTAGGTAAATATTGTTATATTCACCTGTAGGTAAATATTGTTATATTCACCTGTAGGTAAATATTGTTATATTCACCTGTAGGTAAATATTGTTATATTCACCTGTAGGTATAAATATAACATCTTAGTATTTTTGCACAAGTGAACAATCCTACAAGTGGATTGGTCAAATTTGACGACTATTAAGCTGTTATATCCACCTATAGGTGAATATAACAAAACCGAAATTTTAAAAATGGCGGCTAGCCGTTTTGTGGAAATCACGATACTGATAAAAAATAAGCGAAATTAAAATGAATTCAGTAAAAAAAAAGTAACAAAAGACTTGTGTAAAAATACTTAAACAATAATTGTTAATTAATACGTCAAATTTGACCAATCAGGTTGTAGGATTTTTATATTCACTTATGCAAAAATACTAATAACAATTATTCGCGGAAGGCAAGGTGATTATCGGGGAATATTCACCAAGACTAAGTCGGGGTGGATATTCCCCGATAATCACCGAGCCTGAGGCGAATAATTATTTTAGTATTTTTACACAAGTCTTGTGTTTTTTGGGACTGAAATTATTTTAATTTCACTTATTTCTTTATCTGTGATTTCCACAAAACGGCCAGTCGCCATTTTGTTTTCACCCACAGGTGAATATAAGGGAATATATCGCGTCAAATTTTACCAATCACCACGTCGGATTTCTTATATTCACTTGAATAAGAATACTATTTATCATCATTCATTTCTTTAGAAATTGATTGTTTTCACAGTCAATGAACACGAAAAAAATTACATAGCGGGACTAAGTCGTCGGGCTGGCTACGCCACTGCATGCCCACCATTAATATACATATTATATTTTAAGTTGTCTTATTGACATAACATAACACTTGCAGATCTAGTATTGTTCGATGCTGAATTAATATAAACGAGTATGTTTATGACATTCAGTATATATTTCATAATTTCCAGTCTTGAATCCGTCTGTAGCTCAGTAGGTAGAGCGTCGATCTAGTAATTCGAAGGTCGCGGGTTCAAGACCCAGCCGCGGCAGACTTTATCTTTCTGCTTGCGCTGGTTATGGGAATTATATAATACACACTCTAGAACATTTTCATCTTAACATATTATATTTTGTATATTTTACAAAAGAAGAATAATCAAAGCAATAAAACAGAAAAAAACACAAAGTAATAAGATTAATATTTAGGCGAGTGGCCAATCTGATTTGTTGGATGATGTAAATCTTGCAGTTCCTACGTTCCACGTATATGGTCATAAAGTAAAGTGTCAGGTATTTTTTGATTACTTAAAAATCTTATCGTTGTAGGCTATATCGTTATATTTAAGTTGTCATATATCGTTCATCTATATATAGATATTGTATAGCCCCAGAAGATTGGAAGGATTTGGACTGACAGATGGAGAAGTTATGGAGCGACTTTGGTCATATCTTCGTCCCACGGGAAAAATCACTAAGGAAATGACTGCCAGCCACCGAGTCGATGCGCTTACTGATTACCTGTTACACTATACGAGGAAATCAGTATCGCAGATTGGTACGCTATCGAATTTTCCCTAATTACAGTATTGCCAATAAGACTATTATACGTTAAACTCTTTTTATGTGGCTACCTGTACGTTCTCTTCATTTAGGTGATTTATTATGCCAACGGTTGCAAAAAACCTTGCAGATGCAGAAGTACAGCAGCAAAGAATTAACTCTTCTATCTTCAAAACTTGGAAAGAGTGGTGAGTATTTTATACAGTAAAACTAAAATCGTTTGAGTCAATTGAGTTCGCGTGTTAAAAATAATGTAGCTGGTTGTGTACAATATATCGCTGCTATACGTTTTTAAAAAGCCGCCACCTCTAAAAAGCCGCTACGGTTAATTCACCCAGAAGCAACAGTGAGTAGGTTAATTAATAATTCGTCGTCATACACATGCACAATCCTGCATGTATAGTCAAAATATAAGTAATTTCCGATTAAAAAGTTATTTAAAAAACGTTCAGTGAAGTCTATTTAGATTTCTATACAGTATTTGTCCTAGAAATTTTTGTATGATACATGTATTCGTTGTGTTATGGGGCTGACACACACACACGGAAACAAACAAACTTACTGCATATACATATACAGGAGTAGAAAAACTAACCTGCCGAAGGTAACCAAGATTTTGAGTACACATATCCTCAAACCCGATAAGATTTTGTACTTCGCAAATGACGTTTTATGTTCTTTTGCTGATGTGGTAATACAGAGAACACCTTACAAGCAGAAGTCCAGACATGGGTGGAAGAAGAAAAAGAAACTTACCTTCAAAAATCCCAGATGTCAAGTATGTAATTATATTTCATGAAGGATCATTTCGTTTTTGTGGTTAATGTTAATATAATATTATTTGGAAGACTTTTCTTTAACTTAAAGATTTTTTTGTGGAAAAGTCTTGCAGAAGACAGAAGTAAATATGTACGTCCACCAGCTTACTAGATGCCATTCGTAATGCAACATTTTAGATTGCGACATCAAATGTTGTAAGAAACTATTTTTTTCTTCTTCAAACAGATACAAGCAAAGAGTTTGGGTCTTTTGAATATGCAGAAAGACTGCAACAATTCTATTCTGCAAGGTAAGTTGTTTACATGATACATTGCATGTATATCGCATGTTCCCTGACGATGGCTCTGCGCACGTAAAAACGCACAAGTTGTTACAGGTTGCAAACAAGTTGTTACAAGTCTGTTCACAAGCCGTCGACAAGTTGTGTTCGCACTGCTTGTTCCCAGTTGTAACAAGTTTAGAACAAGCTGTTAACAACTTGTAACAAGCTTGATGACATTATCAGACTTATTACAAGGTCATTCTAACAAGTCTGATAGAGTCATGCTAAACAAGGATGTTATAAGGTTGACGACACAAGGTTGTAACAATACTGCTATATCATGACTATCGAATTTGCTGGAACAACCTTGTAATAACAAGCCTGATAATATCAACAAGGTTGTTACAAATTGTTAACAGCTTATTCCAAACGTGTTAACAACCTTGGACAAGCAGTGCGAACACAACTTGTTGACAACTTGCTATGCAAGATGTGAGATTTTTGCTATACAAGATGTGAGATTTTTTACGCGCGTAAAATAAACTTCTGCATGAAATTGTTGTTTGTATTTTCTATATGATCGTTCACTTTTGACTGTTTAATCTTATCTATGTGAGGTCCGAAAACTCTAAATGTGTTCCCGATTCACCGGCATGGAGAACTACAGTTCAAAATGTACAGAGGTAATTGACTTTCACTGGACTTCATTGTGATGAAATGAGCAGTGACATACGCGCGTATGGCTAAACTGTTGAAGCAATCGCATTTTAGGCCCTCTCTCTAGACTAGTTTCATAAGTTTATGAAAGGTTTTGCATAAATTTATTTTAGGCTAGATAACGTCTTAAAGAAGATGGAAAAAGGGATGACGAGATGGCCAGATGACAGCCCCGCATTTTATGAAGCAAAACGAAGTTTGGAAAAACAGAACAGGAAGGAGCAACTGGAGAAGATTCGCCATATGGCATCGGAAAGATGGTTTTTACTTCAATTAATGAAGAAGTATGCAGGTACAGTAAGATTAATCGTAATATTAATAAAACTTTGTAGACGCACACGCATTTAGGTATGTTTGACAGATTCTACTCTCTTGGATCACGAAACTTAGAAAACTATTTTGGAGGAAACTACTGTACTGCCGTTGTTTACCCGTAGTTCTTTAAGTTGGCGTGCTGCACTATACACATCAAAAACGCGCACTTGCTCTTAACTGGTACTTTGACATCTGCCATCACTCCTTGGCCTAAAGTATTTTTGTTATGCGCAGAAAATATGCACAAACGGTAACACTGCTGCTTTAAACTACTCGCGCATTCATCAATGAAACATCGTTTGGAGATCGGCTTCGCATTATGCAATCCAATGCAGTTTCGATCCTTGCAAGATGTTACTTGATATTTTATGGTGATATACTGTAATTCAATCTGGAAAACCCGTGACGACTGACGAGATGCATGGTAATACTGAGTATTTCCTATCAGCTTTGTTGCGGACAAAATGGACAATCGTAAACCATTTGTATTTAGTAATTGCTAACGAACGGCTGTTAAACCATGATATTCTATTTTAGATGGTCAAAGTATTGCGAAGAAACTTTGCGGGCAAATCAATAGACAAACGAGTATGATAAAGAAAGCCGTCAATTCCTACAATGCCAATGCTGGTCAATTTTCAACCATTGTCGATTTTCAATATCCAGATGAAGTGACTTTTGAGCAGTGTACCGATATCGAATCGTCCTTGTGGGATGGGATGGAGAGCACGGAGCAATGCAATTTACCCAGATCAATTATAAAACACTTAATTAATATGTTCAATACGAAGAAAAGATGTGAAGAAGAAGTCGTTATGTTGAAAGATGAAATGAACAACTGCATTAACTTCTTCTCGCAATACCTACATCAACTTGATAGTTGGTATAAGGCGTTAAAGGCAGACGAGCTTTCTTATGGCAATCGTGGCATTATAGCTGTACTGTCTTCAAGAACACGTTCACTTTCTCTGTTCATTTGTGTGCTCAAACAGCAATTTAACATTGATGTTACCGACACTGAGAGTGCAAATGATCTTGACGAGGACATTACCGAAGAAGCAATTGCGGAGTATTATAGCATGCTTAACATGGAGAGCATGGAAAGTGACAATGACGACTTCGGTGATGATGATGACGACGATGATATCGACAATAGCGATGATATCGACAATAGCGAAGATTAAATCAGTTTTGAATGTACATACTAATAATATTCACAGAGTAATGCATACAGTAGTTCAATTCTTTCTGTTACCATCCCCAACCCCCCGGGATTTGTGCGCTGAAAATTTCCGAGGATGGGGAATTTCATTGGTCCCGGAGGTAGGGAACTTAGGACTTAGCCCACGAACCCGCGAGATCTATAAAAAATGGCGGCGGAATGTTTTACTGGAAACAATTTCGAGTTTGTGTGTAACTGGTTAAAACCGCCAGTTGCGATCTCTGTCGTTTATAATGTTCTTTTTAAAGCTGGAGTAATACGAGCAACAAAATTGCTGCAACTTGCAACAAAATCTGATTTCAACGCATGTTTAAGTAGAAATGTTGAGTTGTTGACACATGTTGCCTCGTGACTTGTAATGTATATCTGAACATTCTCAATTAACATGCGTTGAAATCAGATTTTGTTGCAAGTTGCAGCAATTTTGTTGCCCGTATTACTCCACCTTAATAGTAGTAAGCAACGTTTTTGACAACACAAACATCACGCAAAAGTTAGCATGAAAATAAACGGAACGCAATAGCCGATATTGTCCCCGGGGTGGGGAATTGTCTTTTTTTATTTGCCCGGGGGTGGGGAATTTACACTTTTGAAATAAAAAATCTGCAAATTCCCGGAGGTGGGCGATGGTAACAGGAAGAATTGAACCAGGCATAACGTCCATGAGGATAATGTAAATAATAATATCATGTTAGCTTAACATTTTTATAAGGAATTGAGGGTAAATTAAATACTAATTTATACAAAATTGATTCCGTGAGCTGATGCCCCTTAGTATTAGGAATGAACTCTGGAATGGATTAGGGATGAACATATCCAAATTCGCATCTACATGCTCCTGACCTACATCCGCGGAATCGTAGCTGGATGCGATAAATTGGGGATTCATATATTAATGTTCACATAATCGCTTTCAAAATAAATCCGTCGGGCAGAACACGAATATATGAATATGCACCCTCCCCAATTATCGGTCTACCTACGGCCATCAACAAAAATAAAAAAACCCAGTGTACACAATTTAATCTATTGTGGTGCCGTCAAATGTTTTCAAATTCAACCAGCGGGGCCAAGTGTATTTTTCAAACAGTTTGTATATGACCTATCGCCTGATTTCTCTCTTTCAACACACTAATCTTTCGACAAACCTAATTGAAAACTAAAAGACTGAAAGTATGGCATATTAGTGTGTCTAAAGAGAGAAATTAGATCAGACGATGTGTCATATACAAACTGTTTGAAATTATCAAACTCTCCTTGTTTCGGCGAACAAAATTGTCCTGAAAAGTGTTTTTTAACCTGTGGGTTGCATGTTCATTAATACTCCACAAATCACAATACCTGCTAATTAAAGTTATAGTAATATTCAATGCACAAATCAAGTCCATCACTCTATTATCAATCACTGCGATAAATAAAAAATTGATGAAACACCATCCATTCTCAGAATACCAGGTTGGCACTACCGGAGGGGGAGGCGGGCACCGCGAAAAACTAATTCTTCTATGATTCCGTTCTTTGCACAATTTTTTTTTTGCTATAGAAATACTATACTCGACAAACTGACGTTCCAATGTTACCCCATTTTTTGCACAAATTTAAAATATTACCCCGTTTTTGGCACAAATTAATGTAAAATTGGGGTACGTTTTAGTGTTCCCTGTAGAAATACTATACTCAACAAACTGACGTGTTCAAATGTTACCCCGTTTTTGCACAAATTTTAAATATTACCCCGTTTTTTGCACAAATTTAAAACTGGGGTACGTTTTAGTGTTGTCTGTAGAAATACTATACTCGACAAAGTGACGTCACTTGTAGTTGTATTTTATCGTGTTTCAAAGATCACATATAAGTTCGGTGAAAGGTTGGATTATATAGGCTTACGGATCGAAAGCGTTGCAATAATAAATTTACTTGGTGTATCCACAAACCTAATATACCCCTACCTATGTTTTAAATACTATCCCACAGTGTTCTAATTGAATACCTTTTTTAACCAATTCAAGTACCATCTCGTGGTACGTTCATGCCCATCTGCATTACAACTAGGGCGTGGTAGTTACAATTTTGACAAATTCTCATATTTATTGCGTATTTGTTACCAATTCAAGTATTTTGTGTGTTTTTGTACCATCTCATGATAAGATGCTGCCCATCTGCATTACAACTAGGGCGTGGTACGTACAATTTTGACAAATTCTCATATTTATTGCGTATTTGTTACCAATTCAAGTATTTTGTGTGTTTTTGTACCATCTCATGATAAGATGTTGCCCATCTGCATTACAACTAGGGCGTGGTATGTACAATTTTGACAAATTCTCATATTTATTGCGTATTTGTTACCAATTCAAGTATTTTGTGTGTTTTTGTACCATCTCATGATAAGATGTTGCCCATCTGCATTACAACTAAGGCGTGGTACGTACAATTTTGACAAATCCTCATATTTATTGCGTATTTGTTACCAATTCAAGTATTTTGTGTGTTTTTGTACCATCTCATGATAAGATGTTGCCCATCTGCATTACAACTAAGGCGTGGTACATACAATTTTGACAAATTCTCATATTTATTGCATATTTGTTGCCAATTCAAGTATTTTGTGTGTTTTTGTACCATCTCATGATAAGATGTTGCCCATGTGCATTACAACTAAGGTGTGGTACGTACAATTTTGACAAATTCTCATATTGCGTATTTGTTACCAATTCAAGTATTTTGTGTGTTTTTGTACCATCTAATGATAAGATGTTGCCCATCTGCATTACAACTAAGGCGTGGTAGGTACAATTTTGACAAATTCTCATATTTATTGCGTATTTATTACCAATTCAAGTATTTTGTGTGTTTTTGTACCATCTCATGATAAGATGTTGCCCATCTGCATTACAACTAAGGCGTGGTACGTACAATTTTGACAAATTCTCATATTTATTGCGTATTTGTTACCAATTCAAGTATTTTGTGTGTTTTTGTACCATCTCATGATAAGATGTTGCCCATCTGCATTACAACTAAGGCGTGGTACGTACAATTTTGACAAATTCTCATATTTATTGCGTATTTGTTACCAATTCAAGTATTTTGTGTGTTTTTGTACCATCTCATGATAAGATGTTGCCCATCTGCATTACAACTAGGGCGTGGTACATACAATTTTGACAAATTCTCATATTTATTGCGTATTTGTTACCAATTCAAGTATTTTGTGTGTTTTTGTACCATCTCATGATAAGATGTTGCCCATCTGCATTACAACTAAGGCGTGGTACGTACAATTTTGACAAATTTTCATATCTATTGCGTATTTGTTACCAATTCAAGTATTTTGTGTGTTTTTGTACCATCTCATGATAAGATGTTGCCCATCTGCATTACAACTAAGGCGTGGTACGTATAATTTTGACAAATTCTCATATTTATTGCGTATTTGTTACCAATTCAAGTATTTTGTGTGTTTTTGTACCATCTCATGATAAGATGTTGCCCATCTGCATTACAACTAAGGCGTGGTACGTACAATTTTGACAAATTCTCATATTTATTGCGTATTTGTTACCAATTCAAGTATTTTGTGTGTTTTTGTACCATCTAATGATAAGATGTTGCCCATCTGCATTACAACTAAGGCGTGGTAGGTACAAGTTTGACAAATTCTCATATTTATTGCGTATTTGTTACCAATTCAAGTATTTTGTGTGTTTTTGTACCATCTCATGATAAGATGTTGCCCATCTGCATTACAACTAAGGCGTGGTACGTACAATTTTGACAAATTCTCATATTTATTGTGTATTTGTTGCCAATTCAAGTATTTTGTGTGTTTTTGTACCATCTCATGATAAGATGTTGCCCATCTGCATTACAACTAAGGCGTGGTACGTACAATTTTGACAAATTTTCATATTTATTGCGTATTTGTTACCAATTCAAGTATTTTGTGTGTTTTTGTACTATCTCATGATAAGATGTTGCCCATCTGCATTACAACTAAGGCGTGGTACGTACAATTTTGACAAATTTTCATATTTATTGCGTATTTGTTACCAATTCAAGTATTTTGTGTGTTTTTGTACCATCTCATGATAAGATGTTGCCCATCTGCGTTACAACTAAGGCGTGGTAGGTACAATTTTGACAAATTCTCATATTTATTGCGTATTTGTTACCAATTCAAGTATTTTGTGTGTTTTTGTACCATCTAATGATAAGATGTTGCCATCTGCATTACAACTAGGGCGTGGTAGGTACAATTTTGACAAATTCTCATATTTATTGCGTAGTTGTTACCAATTCAAGTATTTTGGGTGTTTTTGTACCATCTCATGATAAGATGTTGCCATCTGCATTAGAACTAGGGTGTGGTAGGTACAATTTTGACAAATTCTCATATTTATTGCGTATTTGTTGCCAATTCAAGTATTTTGTGTGTTTTTGTACCATCTCATGATAAGATGTTGCCCATCTGCATTACAACTAAGGCGTGGTACGTACAATTTTGACAAATTCTCATATTTATTGCGTATTTGTTACCAATTCAAGTATTTTGTGTGTTTTTGTAACATCTCATGATAAGATGTTGCCCATCTGCATTACAACTAAGGCGTGGTAGGTACAATTTTGACAAATTCTCATATTTATTGCGCATTTGTTACCAATTCAAGTATTTTGTGTGTTTTTGTACCATCTCATGATAAGATGTTGCCATCTGCATTACAACTAGGGCGTGGTAGGTACAATTTTGACAAATTCTCATATTTATTGCGTATTTGTTACCAATTCAAGTATTTTGTGTGTTTTTGTACCATCTCATGATAAGATGTTGCCCATCTGCATTACAACTAAGGCGTGGTAGGTACAATTTTGACAAATTCTCATATTTATTGCGTATTTGTTACCAATTCAAGTATTTTGTGTGTTTTTGTACCATCTCATGATAAGACGTTGCCCATCTGCATTACAACTAAGGCGTGGTACGTACAATTTTGACAAATTCTCATATTTATTGCGTATTTGTTACCAATTCAATATTTTGTGTGTTTTTGTACCATCTCATGATAAGATGTTGCCCATCTGCATTACAACTAAGGCGTGGTACGTACAATTTTGACAAATTCTCATATTTATTGCGTATTTGTTACCAATTCAAGTATTTTGTGTGTTTTTGTACCATCTCATGATAAGATGTTGCCCATCTGCATTACAACTAGGGCGTGGTAGGTACAATTTTGACAAATTCTCATATTTATTGCGTATTTGTTACCAATTCAAGTATTTTGTGTTTTTTTGTACCATCTAATGATAAGATGTTGCCCATCTGCATTACAACTAAGGCGTGGTAGGTACAATTTTGACAAATTCTCATATTTATTGCGTATTTGTTACCAATTCAAGTATTTTGTGTGTTTTTGTACCACCTCATGATAAGATGTTGCCATCTGCATTACAACTAGGGCGTGGTAGGTACAATTTTGACAAATTCTCATATTTATTGCGTATTTGTTACCAATTCAAGTATTTTGTGTGTTTTTGTACCATCTCATGATAAGATGTTGCCCATCTGATGATAAGATGTTGCCCATCTGCGTTACAACTAAGGCGTGGTACGTACAAT